GCCACCTATTGGAGTAAGGTGTTTCACGCATTTTTAATTTTTCATTACTGACATATTTAACTTTTTTATTTTTACGTTTTTTATAGGTTATCTTAAGCGACTGATGTCGTCTTGAGGTCGTCACCAAAGTGGAAAATTATGTGCGGAGGAGGAGAAGAGATGGTTTGGAGCTGCGTTTTAGACGAAGGGCCAGTCCCAATTCACTTCGTTGCAGGGACGATGCGCTCTGACCAATACATAACTGTTTTGAAAATATTTTTTTGCCATATTTGGAAAGGCTAAGGTATCCGGCAAGAGACTACACGTTCATGCAAGATGGTGCTCCTTGCCATACCAAGACTTAAACCCAATACAAGTTTGTTGGGTACATCTAAAACGCATTGTCTACCAACGAAAAAACACAAAAATTGGAGATCTCAAAGAAAACATCAAGGACATATGGAAAAATGATGTACATTTGCATATAAAAATAAAAAATGGCATTATTGATCGATCGCGGTGGTATTAGCCAGTAAGGGTAGGCTTACCAAATAATAAATATATATGCAATTATCATCACGAAGACAATATTGTTGCACCAATATAGTCGAAATAAGGTAAATTACGAGCGACAGTTTAGTTGATCAAACTTGAAACCTTTCGAAAATATTGCCCGTTCGTAATTCGATGGCCAGGCACTGGTAATGTTATTTTAATATTTTGTGCGGTATCCAGTATTTTTTTATTTGCTGAGCAACGTCTAGGCATAGAATTCACTAAATCCTGGCATACAACATCTGGGATTTTATCCCATACGTCCTTTAGTAGTATCCAAAGATCCTCTTTATTTGATGGATTTTGGCCACTTTAATCTCTTTCCATAAATTGGTTATCGGATTAAGGTCTGGTGATTGCGGAGCCAACTTAAAACTTCAATGCCATTTTGGTTGAACCATTCTTCCTTCATTCATAACATGTTTTCACCCAAAATCCTGGCATATTATAAGGCACCTATTGTACCCTCCGTCAGAAATTAGAGACATGTTTAATAATAGGAGAAGCCCTCATTATACTCTCGCTAACTGGGCAATCCGCATGATCTTCCTCAAATTTTAAATGTTTTTTTTTCAGTGACTTTGACTTGAGCAACTTTAGCTTTCAACTTTGATTAAGAATTTTTGAAAGGTTGAATTATCCACGTCCAAATAATACTGCTTCTTAAGAGCAGAAGAGGACAGAAACGAATCTTTTTTCACCTGACTCAAGACTCGATTTTCAAAAATCGCCATATTATACCATTTTAAATTGCACCTGACTTCTTCATTTTCCACTATGTAAATCAAATAACAATGATTGTATCGGGGTAAAACTTTGCGTTTAAAGTATGCCCCCTTGTGACCAAAAATTGTTTAAATCGAACCAAAACTGTTCAATCTCCTAGGTACTGAATATGTGGACCCTAATGCCTATAGTTGACTTTTTACCGAAAATATCTGTCAATGTGTAGGATATATAATTGAAATTCATAAAATAAAATAAATAAATGAAACTCTTGATAATAGTTTCCTTTAATATACAATTTTGCCAACTACTGAAGGAATTTCCCAAGTTGCGAGAGTATAAAATTGTCTGTTACACCCGAACTTAGAACTTCCTTACTTGTTTGTTGGTACATCGTGAGAACACAAACAAAATTACTAATTCTGTCAATTAATTTTTTGTTTACAAGCCATTTGAAGTTGACGTGTCAAAGTATTTTTTAATATGAATATATTATTTTTTATATATGCATATTAATATTAATATTGAATATCGCGCAGTGATTAAATTCATTGTATTGAAAGGTTTAAAAGCAAAGGAAATTTATGAACAATTGTTAGAAGTATATAGGACTCCTCACCTTCAAAACGCACGTCGAATTTTGGGCTGGTGAACTTAAACGTGGTCGTACTAGGCTGGAAGACGATCCGCGTTAAGGACGACCAAAAACCGCAATCACACCATAAATCACTGAGCAAGTTCATAATATTGTGAGTGAAGATCCAAGTTTGACTAAGCGTGAAATTGATAATGCCATAGGCTTCTCAGACGAATCTGTACTCCATATGGAAAAGCTATTTGGAAAGTTATTGCCGCACACGTTAGGTAGGTAGGTAAAGTGGCTGTCATTCGACACAGCTAGGCCTTTAGGAGCCCCATTGTGATACCACTGGGACTGTGGTCTCCTCACTCTATTGGCTCCTCTCTGAACCACCCTGTACTTCTGATGAACTTCATCAGTGAGCCAAGTTTTATCCCTGCAACCTCCTAGACGTCGTCAAGAAACCCACGACTGATGGTTGCGATTCTTTTCCTATATAGTGCTGCGCAATCGCATAAAAGATGTTTAATGGTCTCCTCCTCTTCTACTTCCTGACAGTTTCTACAATAGTCGTTATATGGCGTGCCAAGTCTACTTGCATGTCTGCCTATTAGACAGTGGCCTGTTAGTACTCCTACTAGAGTTCTTACAAGTATATCATATATAGTAGCCAGAGGCATATATATGTCCTCCTTACCAGGATCTAGTTGTTGGGTGGTGCCTGTTCTGGCTAGGTCATCTGCTACACAGTTCCCGGGGATGTCACTGTGTCCTGGAACCTATTGCAGGTTTACCGTGAAATCGGATGTCGGATCCTCTAGAAGATCATGGCATTCTTTCACTGTCTTCGACGAAATCCTATGTGAAATCAGAGATTTCAAAGCCGCATGGCTGTCTGTATATATAAATATATTCCTTGTATATATAAATATATTCCTTGTATATATAAATATATTCCTTGT